GTGATGGCCTAACTTGTGCCGGATCAGTGCAAGGGCGGTGGAAAATGTTTGAGTGGAAGTGGGTGCAAACTGCACTCAATTCCAAGGAGGAGTGCGAAACATTTGGGTTTGTACTCATGAGACTGCATGGCCACTTGCATCAAGGATGACACGCACAAATAAGAGATTCAGTTCATGGACATTTTACTTTTCAGACATGTCAAGACATGGATTTTTGTGAGGCCCGTGGTTCAAGAAAAGGCGAGCGGCTGTACCCATTTTGTTTGCAGATCCAGATGATGAACCATACGTGAGAAAAGGAAACAAGCGCTAGCCATTGAGTTAACAAGAAGATGTCCCCATGGGTTCGGTTGGAATGTGTTTGGTACCACTTGCAAGCCAAAGGTGGGGCCCAGAGATGGTTTTCACACCACTCCACCGTTGTTGAGCAGCAGTTTCCAAAACGATAGCGTTTCCGCAAACTTTGTGGTTACAAAAAAATCTGATGTTTTGATTTGCAAGGTGTCGAACAATTAGCATGGACAGAAAACCAATTGTCATACCCGCATGGCCGAGTGCCGTTTTCTAAATCATTTGCGCGAAACATTTTGCTCCGTTGCGTCAATCGGTTCGTGGATCTCGATGTTTAAAACTTTTTGTCGGTTGTGTTTAAAACGTCACAGGACATGACGTTTGACTCTTGAGGATAATTAAATTTTGGAACTTGATGGGTTGCGCCGTTGGTAAACGAATGTTTTGTGAATTCAAAAAATGGGAACATAGGAGCAACACATCAAAATCATGACATACCTGCAGTTTTGGATGCATGCGCAGCTTAAATGGATTCGCGCAAAAAATGAAAATATCACACAAATCATTTGGGCCCTCAACAAGTGCCATCATTCGATTGTTTTGTCCGAGTCTTCAAACCCATTCAACGTTGGAGGGTGCGTCATGGGCTAGCCGGCCCCCTCAAGCCTAGACGTAACATGGGGAACGCGTTCCAATGTTTTCACTGCTTTGACACATGGCCACAAAACCGATGGGGTCTTGAAAAAATGAATAAATTTATGGGGAGAAGGTGGCAACTGTTGTTTTTGGTAGGCAGCTGACTCGCCGCCCCCACGAAGGTTGTTATTTCTGCCTACGGATCGAAAACCGTGCTCATAAAACGCACATTTTTGCTAATGGGACGTGGGGGTTATGTTGGGGTGGGGTGGGGGGGGTGGGGTGGGGTGGGGGTGTTAACGTTCTGTCTAGTGCGTACAGTACATATTACTACGCTCCCGAGATCTCTGGAATGCTTGCCACGTTACATGTTGGGGTGGGGTGGGGTGGGGGTGTTAACGTTTTGTCTAGTGCGTACAGTACATATTGCTACGCTCCCGAGATCTCTGGAATGCTTGCCACGTTACATGTTTCTACGCTGCAGAGATCTCCTATGGTATCCTTGCCGCGTTACATTTTGCTACGCTGCAGAGATCTCCTATGGTATCCTTGCCACGTTACGCTGCATTCGACATGTTGTCGTTGTCTCGCATTGACATCACAATATTGATCGTTCGATGTACAAACACATGGATATAGATAGATAGATAGATAGATCGATAGATAGATAGATAGATAGATAGATAGATATATATATATAGATAAATATATATATATATCTACTGCATAAAAACATTTTTTTTTTTTTGGACCTTAAAAAAAACCCTTAGTTTACATGGAAAAAACAGTACATTTGAAAAGAGGAACAAAAAACCTTGGAAAACGCAGTGAATTTGAAACCCTGGTTCAAGTGAAACAGACAGTGAATCACTCCGAAACCACAGCGAGAAACAAATTTCAAAAAAACAAAGAGAAATGACTCGTTGACCCTTCTGGGGGCGGCGAGACAGCCGGCACCCTTGTTTTTCTTGAGGTTGTGCTGTATTTTCTTTCGAATCAATCAAACACATCAAACAAATTGCACGTGCAAATTTGATCACATGATCTTTGCGAACTGGACTGATTCGCAACAAAACAATTCCAAATTGCAATGGAAATAAAATTTTGTCAAACATCGGTTTTGTTACCAAAAAATTACACACACAAAAATTGTTTTCACGCTTTGCGACATGTTTCGGTTCAATTAGTTCCGAGTTGATCAACACGATGATCTTGGTATCTGGACATTTAATTTTATTGGATGGTGCGATGATGCGAACCAATTTTGCATTTGGCCGGCATCGTAGATGCCGATGACATTCGATAGATCATGATTGTTGTTCCCCTTCAAATATTGTTCCGACCCTGTGACACAGATTTTTTTCACTTCCAAACACGCAACCCACCACATCCAGCCGGTTCCATGGTTGCAAAGCGAAGCGTTGCCCGTTTCCTGAGCAGAAGGTCACGGGTGGGTAAGGGTCGAGGTGGAATGGTGTGAAAAAAAATGGCCTACACGTGGTGGTTTTGTGAATGAGTTGATGTGATTCCTCAGGTTCCCTTTCATGAAAATCATTGCTGATATGCATTTTTTTTTTCAAAAGACACTTGGATTCAAAATATGAATAATTTCAAACCTGAATGCATGAAACCCTGGTTGATTAATCAAGTGGGTCACCCGCAAGTGATATTTGCTGCTGGGTTTTGCTAAATCAAGATGGATCCACCCAGTGTTAACCAACCAATGGGGTCTGGCGTGTGGTTTTGCAGGGTGTGCATAACCAACACCGTTTGGCCCGTTTCGGTTCCAGAGTCAGAGACGCGTGGTGCTCCAGTGCCTTTGACCGAGTGTTTTTTAGAAACTCTGCCCTAGACACCATGGTGCCCTGGCAGCATTTCTGGAATTTGCCTTCCCATCCCAGACTTTCGAAGTGATGGAGTCTTAAGGCAGGTCCAAAATTACAGAAACGAGTGACTGAAACAGAACCATTGAATTTAGTCATTTTAGTCGGCAGTCAAGAACTTCTGGTGGTTGAGCTACATATGGGTATCAACCAAACTTGGGCGCCCACAAATGGATTCATCTCAGATTCTGATGGTATATCGGTTAAACATTCATGGCACTCCTACTCTTCTGTAGTAGAAATCTCGAAAAAATTACGAATTCGGGGGTTGCATGGGTAGCCCATTCTTGAACTGCGACCTGTCCTGTCCATTTATGATTTTGATGGTTTGCCTGCTTTGAACCTGCAGTGTACGGTGTATAGTGTAAAGCAACAAAAATAGAAAAATGAAATTCAACTAAACTAAAACAGTGATAATTTATTTTTCTATACCACAAAAATTGCCATATGAACGGGATACTGATGAACAAACATCAGGCAACTGGTCGCTCCAACGGATTCCTGCTGGAGGCAGAATGATCCACTTGGGCATATCGTGGAGGTTGGTGAATGGTACATGAATGGAAAGTGACTGGTGATGACCTGTCTGGAAGGGCAGTCATATGAGTCATATGGGTCATATGCATTTTACATACATGATTGTACATAGAATGGTTTAAAATTGTCGGTTTTCCAAAATAATCATCCATTCTCCCCATATTTAGCTGGTTAAATCCTCATAGTGTCCCTGTTATTTGGGGGTTGACTTTCTACACTTGCCAACCTCTGTTACACTCAAGGTTTGTTGGCTTCCGAGGTGCTCACCTAGTGCCATGCTTTGTGCCCTAGTGGTGGCAGAGGAAGCTCCAGCAGATGATGGTGACACTTTCTTCACCAAGGAAGTTGCACCAATCAGCAGATTTTGCAGGAGCAAAGATCAATATTTCCTACAAAAGTTTCCTCAAAAACAAGTTGAATTAAGTTCCCCAACAGCTAACTACCAGTTTGACTAACTAGCAATTATCTTTCAAGGACAACTAAACAGTCAACTCACAAAAACACGGTGCGGGTACGCAGCTGCGCAGGGCTTGCATTGCCTGGAGTAATCCAATACTAAGCCCGTGTTGGGTTCGGTGAGTAATTCATATTATATACTTCATATTGAAGGGAAGGAAAATGGCATTCCCATCAATTGAATAAACTACATGTTTTTCTTGTGTTGGAAATTGTGGTGTTTTTTGTTGTGATTTCATTGGGAAAATATAGGGGTGGATTCGGTGGATCATATCAGGGTTTTGTAAAGCACCGTTTGGATACCGTGGTAAGTGGTGTTGAAATGTTTTTTTTCTTTTCTGAAGGATTCGCTCCAAAAATGGATATGATTCTCCCAATTGACGAGCAAAACACATGCGGGGCTGGCTCTACAACAAACCCAATACTGCAGGGTGAGTTTGGCACCTGCCAGATGGGTATTTCTTCTGAGCCAAAGAAAATTACTGCTTCGCCATATCCAATCATCAATTATCATCTAACACCTGGCAGCCTCGACTGACCAGGCCCCAAATTGGGGGAGCCCTCAATTTGATGGCCACCAGTCACCACCAATAAACATACACATATGGCTATGGGTCAATACCTATAGATACCATTTTTAGTGGGATGAACATCCATTTACCAGCTATTTTGATGTTCACCAGGGGTACAAGGTTTTGACCCACTGCCATATTTACACATCATATCATTGCCTCTCTTTAGCACCTAAGTTTGGTCAGTTCCTCCCAAGCTTCGTCATTCTTGAAGTGGGGCAGAGCCTCTTGGGATGTGATTTCCTGGTGAAAAGCCGGGCTTGGTGGAAGCTGCCACGATGTGGACATGGACGTTGCGGACAAAACATGAAATCTGTGTGGAAAGCACGGCATTCCGAGCCCAGCAGTTGATCACCTTTGGTGCGACCACCAGGTTGTTCCCACTTGGCCATTCTCGGCTCGAAGAAGTTTTTAGTTTCCTAGAAAAGGTTTGAATACCGGACAATTTGTGGGAGGCAAGTATCTGGCAGCATTTCAGTAGAAGTATTCTCTGCAGCCACTGATATGCAGATAGGATGCAAACATGTGTACTCAGCCGGCAAACACAAGCACCAATGTTCACACGAACATGCGCTCAGAGTGCACTGATCTGATGGTATGCATTTGCTGCTGCTTGAACTTGAGGCTGTTTCCCAACACATTTAGGGGTCAGTGATGACCAATGCCATGGAATGCTCATTTCCTCTCATTGAGCTCAGTGAGGGATGTATGTGGTGGCATTTGCCCTTAATCGCGGCTGTGCTTTTGTCACCCTGTTTCTCCCTGTGCAAGATGCTGAAACGCAAGTTCAAAAGACGTTCAGAAGTCCAGGAGCACTCCTTAAATGATTTGTACGGTGCATTGTGGGATGAAACAGATGAGAAGGTGGAGCACTACACTGAGCTCCTGTGTAGACCTAAATGGTACTGTTACTGGGATGCTATGAGCCGCAAAGATGTAGAGTCCAGAGTTCATGAGTTTCGCGCACATCAAAGCAGAATCGGTGGAGTAAGTCTGCGCTATGTGTTGTCCAATGAATTTGCACAACTCGCAAGACGTCGCACTGGCCAGACAAATCCGACCTTCAACGAAATGAAAGAGGCATTCTGGCTGGGACAGGATCCCATTGGAAAAGACATCATTTGCCCCAGAGACGGAAAGCCAGGCTGTGCCATGGTAGATTGGATTCCTCGGGCTGATCGACGCGAACAGACCCATTTTGTGTCATGGACTTGGTGTTACACACTAGAAGACGTCCGCAGTGCGCTGAACACGCTGACACGGTCAACTGCTCTTGACACAATCTTTTTATCAATGTGTTTTTTTGTCAAAAATCACTTTCGATGTTTGATTGAACCAACGGCAGCGACAGGTAGTGATGATTTGTACGATGAAGAATTTGAGCACAATCTGACGAGGATAGGGTGCATGGTCGTAGTCTTGGATACCTGGAACCAACCAACATACATAAAACGTATTTGGACGATTTATGAGCACTTCACAGCCTGCAAGCTGGCTATACCAGTAAGAATGGTGATGCCAGAGACGGCTCTTGAGTCCTTGCGTCTTAAGGTGCAACTTGGTGCAGAGGGATGGTACGAAATCTCTCAGGCACTGGCTGAAATGAAGTGCCAAGAAGCTATGGCCTTTAATTCAGAAGATGAGGCGAAGAAACGCTTAATCGGTGAGACAGTGGGATTTGGCAGAGTAGACCGGCACCTGAATCACGCCATGAGCATGATGATGATGGAATCAGTTTTCCAATATAGTATTAGTGATTTTCAGGGTGTAGTTGCTGACCAGAAGTTGAAACACACATTGAAACTCCTGGAAGAAGAGCTGTGGGATGAGCAAGACGACGCAATTTCCAGGTACGTCGACCTCCTGTTGGATTTGGAAATGTCCCGTGAAACGGTAGAGTCGGAAATTCGGAAGATCCGAGCAGAACAGAGTGAAGCGGCAGGTGTGAGTTTGCGATACATTTTGTCCGTTGAATTTGATGAGTTGGCCAGCAGCCGCACTGGCCAGACAAATCCGACCTTCAACGAAATGAAAGAGGCATTCTGGCTGGGACAGTATCCCATTGGAAAAGACATCATTTGCCCCAGAGATGGAATGCCAGGCTGTGCCATGGTAGATTGGATTCCTCGGCCTGATCGACGCAAACAGACCCACTTCATGTCATGGACTTGGAAATACACACTGGGGCAGCTGCACAGTGCTTTGGAAATGTTCAAAATGAACACAACCCCTCCCCGTGACACCAGTTCGATTTTTTTCTATATCTGTTTCTTTGTCAACAATCAATTTCGAATCATTGTGGATGGTGTGGCAGCAGGCAGTGATGACCTTGAGAATTCCTTTAAGGTGAATTTGAGTCGATCAGGAAGGATGGTGGCAGTCTTGGACACTTGGGAAGATCCGGTCTACTTGAAAAGAGTGTGGACTGTCTATGAACAGTTTGTTGCTTGTTCATCCAGGCTGCCAGTGGAGTTTGTGATGCCAGACGCTTCAATGGCATCCCTGCAGGACCACATCCGGCAGGGTGAAAGAGGTTTGAAGAAAGTCACAGCTTCAATCTGCAAGGTTGATTCTGAAAAAGCTGAAGCTTGGAAAGCCGAGGATGAAAAGAAAGTGAAGCTTGGCTAGGTGTTCTTTTCCGGCTTGAGCCAAATTATAGAATATATATATATATAATGTATATATATATATATAATACATTTCACGCATACTAGCTTGTGTAAGCTGAAGTTGCTCTTGCTTTTGGAATGAAAAGGGAGGAAGTAGGACTGTTGAATTCCTAGAAGGTTTCAAGGTTATACCCCACCTCCCCAATCCCCTCCTGGTGCCTCCACCCCCCCACATTATCGTCCCACCCTGGGCTGGAGTGATGTTTGTTGGGGCATCATGATCAGCATCAGCATCACATCACATCCTCTTGTGTGGGCTACTTCTTGTGGCCTCTCTTGTACTTCGGTCATAATTCAAATGTCATGTCCTTTTTTCCAATTCTCTGTCTATGCATCGAACCCAAAAACATTGATTTTTGTCTTCCGCAGGTTTTTCTTCTCCACCCATGTTCTTGTTTCTCTTCAACTATTTGCTATTCTCCGTTGGAGCTATGCTTCACCTTTCTCCCACAGGACGCTCCACGCTGGCAACAGATGAAACATATTGTTCCAATTTAACATGGCCTCTCACACCATTTCACACTTACAGCTCTCGGACATTCAAATGCATATCCCAGCCAGCTACGGGAGTAGCCTTCGTACCTTCCGCGCCTCAAGTTTCATTTCCAAGAACGAAGGACAGCAGGTGAGGTTCATCTTTCCAGGGCTGATCATGACGATTCCGTTGCCGAGGAAAGCAGCCATCCGCGACTCGGTGGGCTTCGAGGAGGTCAACCAGCATGTGAGGAACGCCTTGGTGGATTGGATTGGCCAGGCCGTCCGGAAACAGTTCCAGGAACTCGTGGATGCTGCGATATGACAATATGACTGGGCCTATTGCTACTACCAGCTCCACGGCAAAATTCTCCGAAGCTTGCCCCTTACTTTGATTCCGGATGCTTCCGGTTTATTTAACTTGGCGAATTTAGATATTGCCGCTCCTTGTCAGACGCAGTGGTGGCGCAAAAGTGATACTGTATCACTTGCAATTTGGTTTCACCAACTTGGATCCACCCTAATTGCAACCAACCCATGGGGCCATGGGGTTTGAATCTGGGGTCAACATGCATTCTGGCGTGTGGCCTTGCAGGGTGTGTATAACCAGCCCCGTTTGGCCCGTTTTGGTTCCAGAGTCAGAGACGCGTGCTGCTCCAGTGCCTTTGCCCGGTTGCTTTTTAGAAGCTTTGTCCTAGACACCATGGTGCCCTGGCAGCGAATTCTGGAAGTAATGGAGTCTTAATGCAGGCTTAAAGTTATAGAAACAAGTGGCTGAAACACAGGCCCTGAATTTTAGTCGGCAGTCAGCAACTTCTGGTGGTTGGGAAAGACAATTTGGTGAATGGAACATTTTGTGGGGCAAATGGCAATGTTGCTCTGAAAACATGGAAGATTCTCGCGGTAAAAAAACATGTTTTCATCGATTTCAGGCTGGTACGAAAGTACGGGGCTATACATGGGTATCAACCAAGCTTGGGCGCCCAAAAATGGGCTCGTCTCAGATTTTGATCGCATATTTCATTCTTCCGTTGCATTAATCTCCAAAATGGATGGTTCAACGAAGAAGGACTATGAATTTGCGGGTTCCACGGGTAGCTTATTCTTGAACCCAGACTCAGACCTGTCCATCTTTTATTTTGGTTTATTTTGATGGTGTTACTTTGGAACCTGAAACCATCTCCGAGAGATGTGGGCCTGCAATTACTTGTACCTTACCTGAGGTTGTATGAAGGGGGATTGTAGATGATTGTAGGGTATATAGCAACCCAACCCCAAAAAGATAGAAAAGTAGAATTCAGCAAAAATCGTTCCCTTTCTATTTTTTTTGGGGGGTTACCAAAAACCATAAATTTGCCCTACAAACGGGACAAGAATGATGGACAAAAATCAGGCAATCCGTCGCTCCAACATGGGATTCCTGCTGCTGCTGGTGGCCCTGGCTTGCACCCTGCTGCGCCTTGGAAGAACCGGGCCTTACCGCGAAAAACATCTGGATTTACTCAGAATTGATGGCACTTTTAATAGCGAAAATGCTGATGCATGGGATTTTGGGATATGTCTCAGAGAAGGCGCCACATCTTGACCAAACAAATTGACCCGGGGGATTTCCAGCATTGGAACAATCGGTCAGGTGCCGCTGTGGTCGGCTTCCGAGGTGCTCACCTCGCGCAGTGCCGCGTGCCCTAGTGGTAGCAGATGAAGCTCCAGCAGATGATGATGGCGACACTTTCTTCACCAAGGTTTGGTGCGGATGGCGAAGGGTTCCAATTTGGATCTTGGATTTTTTTTTCACCAAAGTCACCAAGTCATGGACCTAAAATCATCCAACAGGATCAAAGAACTCACAGCGAACTAGTTCACCAATCAGGTCTTCGCCGCAGCTGCGCAGGGTTGCACCGCCTGGAGCTTTGTTTTCACCCCTGGCTGTGGTTGAAACCAGAGGTGTTAAATGATGGGAGAAGGGAGAACAACATGGATTTTTTTTTATGAGACATGGCATTTTTATTATGTTATTTTGAAACTCCTGGAGTTTTTCTTGTGGTTTACTTGGAAAGTATATATGGGGTGGTAGATGTCGTGGTTGTAAACTATTTTTAGATACTTTGAATTACAGTGGTGCTTTTCAATGATTTTCTATTAGTCTATTTTCTTGAACACTTCCTCCAAAAATGAGACAGGATTCCCACAATTGGCGATCAAACATATTGGGCTAGCACCACAAAACATATTTTTGCTGAGTCACTTCAGGATGATGTTTTCGGAAATGATGAATCACCCCATGATGTCAGCTCAGTTTGGCACCTGCCAGATGGATCAAACGAAATACCCTCTGGTAATGACTAACATAGCTATTGAAAATTACCATTTATAGTGGATTTTCCCATAAAAAATGGTGATTTCCCATAGTTATGTTAGTTTACCAGAGGGTAATCATTCTTCAATAAAATGGCCATTCAATAGGGTATCGACAAGCTGGCTGCCGAGGCCGCATTTGTGGCTGCCATCCTGTCGGCCATGAGCGAACCTGTGGAGCCTTGCCGAGCATGATGGGAACATCCAGTATTTGCAGGGCAGTTTTTTTTTTTGGCATATTTAATCAATGGCGATTTCAGGAACCTGAATTGGAGGTACCCACCCTTTTTTTTGGCCTATGTAAGGGCTACGTCAGGGAATATCATTCCCATTGATTTAATCACCAAAAAAGTAGAGATTTGACTTGCATCCATGTGAATCAGCAAAAAAAACCAGGATTTCACCCGGACCAGCAAACATGGTGATTTTAACATATTTTAACATATTTTAACATATTTTAACATATTTTAACAGATTTTGACCATGAAGCCGAAGTTTTGGGTGCTGAATTCTCTTTCCAAGTATCCGATCCGTCCGATCCGATGATCCCACTCTATCCGATCCCGATGCTCAGCCTGGTCAAGGTGAACCGATTGTTGGTGAAGAGAATGACTGTCTCTGCGGTCGGGGGCGGGAGATGGGGCTACGATCCACAAGGGCAGCCTAGTCTTGGGTTTGACCAAGGTAAATGGGTGTAGGTCAAAGCTGAAAATGACCCTATTCTGCATCGAAATGAACAGAGGTCTATTGAGATTTTCATTCCGATTGGCTTTCAGTCTTGACTTGCACCCAAGCCCAGCTACGACCTACAGTTTTTGAAGATGGGAAGCAGCTTACAACTTTCAAGGTATGGAAGTCGCAAAACCTCAGCAATCCCCCCAAAACTGTGTGGGTGGCTTTCAAGTTTGTTTCTTTGATCCCTACAAGGGATCATGCTCCGCAATAGACCTTGATATTTTTCTGCGTGCTGGCTCAACCACTAGAAAAAAGCAACCCCTCATTGCAGGCCTTGAACGATGTCCAGATTGCGGACGTCGCAAAGTTCTTCCTCACCACCTTCCCAACCAACATGTCACTGGGTTGTTTTTTTTTTTTTAAGAACAAACATATGCTGGAAACGGAGACGATGGCTATTTCCTATCAAAACCCAGGGTCTCCACTGAAGTGATCACGGCAGGGGACACGAGGATGTGTTGAAGCCATGAAGCAATTTCGATGATGGCAGTGCAAACGAACGATGATGACCAGCAATCGATTGCATTTGGTAAATTGAGGTACTGGTATTATATATCATTATATATGTATCTGTATATATATATATATTTGGCTCTGGCGCACAGATGCTTCACGCAGCAGCGGCCAAGCAACTCTGAATTCCTGTGTCAGCATTGTATATATATATATCTATCTATCAATTATTTATTTATTTATTTATTTATTTATTTATATACTTATGTATTTACAGAGTTTCTTCACTTCTTGCATGCAATCTGCCATGGAGATATGAGCTGCAGTATGCATCAAGAAATCCAACAGATTTACCAACAAACATGTGGAGTTTGAACAAAAGAAATCCAATTAGCTACTTGCCCGCTAACCTTCCAATTGGCCTGAAGTGAGTTGTTGCCTCTGGGTGAGTTTTTATGATCTCTTTTTTTCCAACAGCACAAGCTTGGGGTCTTCAGCCACAGTACAGGTTTCGGAGCAGGTCGGAGCAGCTCAAATCCGCATTCCCACCAGGAACAGGTTCCCAAGCAAGGGTTCCAAGAACAGGTTGCCAAACAAGATTCCCAGGAACAGGTGCAAGGTTCCCGAGAACAGGTTCCCATGAAACAGACCAGCTGGCTTTGGGAACCAGGTGACCACGCTGCCTTCATATAGGGCTCTCCGTTTTCCTACAATTTTCCCACCTCTTCGAAACTTCGGCCACCAAGGCTGAAGTTCCCGGTCTTCGAGGTGATCAACAGGGCCATGATGTTCACCTCGCTGTCTCCTGGGGTTAGCCCCTGGATATGAACATTTCGGGGTCTGCGGGGAAGCATAACTTCAGTTTGCGAACCAAAAATCATTGTTTTTACTGAAAAAAACATGTTTGGAAAACAAAGGCTGCAAGTATTTTTTTTCTTTGGTTGTTTTTGAGACTTTTGTGATCACCAGTGTGTGACTCTTGTCGTTTTTGCCAGACACAGCCGAAGGGGATGATGACATCTCACCCCAAGATGCAAACCTTACGAGCTGAGGTGGCTTTGTCAGTGGCTGGCTGTTTTGCACCATCATGTTGCCCGTACCTTGGCTTGCACAGTGTCATGGTCTTGGCCAACAAATGGATTGGAGACAAAGGCGACTTCGATTTTAAAGGTCAGCATGGTCCGAGTTTATGGTACTTTAAATTTCTCCAAGTCAGTGATGATTCGATTTTCCCTGGTCGGAAAAAAACGGATTGTCCTAGTTTGATGTGGTGGACATTCTACTTTCATGTCGCATCACGTGGGGTCACTTGGGTCTTTTTTCAGGTACTTGCCGTCCTTGGAGCAACTAGCAATAAATAGCATGCTGCTCAATCGTTCGTCCAGAGATTTCTTAAACAGAACTGTCAACAGTAGCGTGAATTAAGGGATCGATTGATCTCACTTTCCGAAAATGGCCCTACTTATGAATCCGAATATAGTACCACTTAGAAAACAACAAGTGGCGTCTCCCATTCAACATTTTGGACCATCCTGGTATCTCAGCTCCAAGTTGCCAGGTGACCAACTACCGCTTTAGAAAGAGCATGGGCTGGCCCATCAAGCCCGAACTCCTCTATCAGGCTTACGTGAGGAGCCCAGCTCCGTGAGGATTGGCATTGAGGGTTTGGCATCATGGGGACATACGGCTGGTGGATAGTTCTCATTATGTGGATTATAACCCCAATCCTGACTGGACTAAGTCTACTATAGTCTACTTACCCTACCTGTATCTGAGGTTATAAGCCATTTACATTCCATTTACTAGCTGGTATCAGCCACCAAGTAGGGCCAAAGTGTCCATTTTTTTTTTTTTTAACCCTACGACTTGATCCGTGGCCACTTGGTGGCCACTTGCCGCCGAGATCCCAACGGTTGTCCGCGACATCCTCTACGGATGGGCACGAGGACTTGCTGGGCCATTCCTGTTGGACTTGTTCGCCCCAACCACCTTCTTTCACAAGGCGAGGATGGCCACAAGACCCAGGAAATTTCACAGCTGGCCTCGAGAATTTTCCCGAATAAACCAGGCATCATTCCATAGGTGGCCACTCGAAATTTGTTGCGTTTGTTTCTCCTGGCTTCATTGACATCCCTGCAGGCAGCGGTCTTCGGCCTGACCATCTGGGCCTCTTGCTGCTTGGCGAAATGTTTTGGCTGAACCAATCGTTTGACCGGGAAACCGTTAAAAATATGCCATTTACAATACTGTACTATATTTTACTATGTATGTATATATATATAATATACATATAATATATGTGATATATATATATATATGTATATTATACACATATATGAATCTGACATTGTAAGTGGTGAATCCCCAAAAAAGAGGGTGGACCATTCCAAGTTCTGACAGCCATGTTTTCGGCTGGTCACGGCAACACGGCTGGACTGCAAGGCATCCTCTCCTCTCCTTGCAACGAGTGGCGTGGCTTCACTCTGCAACCTCCAGAGATTCTTGGTCACAATGCAGGTAAGGGTCAAATCTCATACCACCAATTTGGGTGTCCTCAACTATCCTGCAATTGGATAGTCGGATGCTAAAGAAAAGATACCAACATACCATAGAGTTTGGGGGTTCGCCATTTTGGCCGCTACCTACATAAACATGAAAGAGCAACAACGTAGGATAGCCAAGATGATCTTTGGACAGTGACACTAGCCATGATAGAGGGCAGAGGTCAACCTCTCAACGGATTTAAGAATCACAATTTCAGGCTTGCTGCTGATGTTGGAGGAAAAACACAACAAGCGGAAATCTGAAAATCTGTTTGGACCCCTGTTGATGGCTTAGAATTCAAGAATTCATGGGAATGGCTCATCAATAGGCACTCAGGGGGCTTCAGCATTTTGCAGCTCTCCTAGTGCCCCGAAAATTTATCAAAGGGATGATGGCAACTGCGGATCAACGTTTTACAAATGCAAAGAATTGATTTCTTTGCTGCGACCACTCCAAGGGTTTTGTTTCACACCTTTTCTAGCTGGAATCCAACATGGAACATGAAGACTGGTCTGGATGCGTCAAAGGCCTCAGTTTGAGTCCCCGTCTTTCTGCACAAAACATGTCAGGTTCACGGTATTTCCTATGTTTTTTGGAAGTTTAACCTCACCTAAAATTGTCATTAAGCAGTGGAACCCCCCCCATGAAAAAGGTGATGTGGGTAGCCAGGTAGCACTTAAAAGTAAAGAAACATGTCAAATCATGTCAAAAACGACCAAACCTGCAACTCCATGAGTACTCGTAGCATTTTAGTCATGGAACCATGTTATCCCAGGTATTTCTCCAGGAGATGAATGGAACCCTACAACCATCGTCGTGCTCTAAGGAAGAAACTGCCATTCTGGGAGTACTTCAAGCCCATCAACTATGCCCGATCCACAGGACCGGATGAAGCCACACAATAATGCTGGAAAAAACAGAAGAATCACGTGTGAAATCTCTTTGATGTGTATCATTTGGACAACTATTTGATACTATTTGGATGAAGTGCTGCTTTATGTTGTTGCCTTTGAATGAATCTTTCAAGCGCATTTTGGATTCTTTCCGCATTTTCGAGTCGACATTTGAGATTGCCGCCAGCAGTTTCTGGGAAATTATTGAGCTCACAATTCGAATTGCCTGGAAGTTCTACTGCATATCAACTTTGCGGTGTGGGTGACTATGAGGAAATAAACTCAATGTGGTAAACCCAATGTCACAAGCCATTCCGAAGTCATCCCCATCAGCAAACGTGCTATGTTTACCATCCCCAGTCATGGGAGTTGTTTATGGGAGGAATTGGCTCCACCATCATGGGCATTGCCTTGATGATTGGCATGTTGGTGACACCCTATGCTGAAACGGCATTCGGGCACCCTGGCCGGAGGTCCTTCTTTTTGACGAGAAAGGAAACCTAAACGGGTGGGAAGATGGGATTTGATTGGCAGTCGTTTCAGCATCATAGGTACTGTATGAGTTAAAATTATGTAAGGACCAAAAAGGCATACGTTTTGAACATTTGCGATATCGATATTCCAACTGGGCACACATTTTGACCCAGTTTTGACAGTGCTGATTAAACCACTACTAAGTGGGATGATCATCCAAGAAGCAAATCCCCCGATTTCACCGAAGTAAGCCAATGCTTCAGCCATGACAACTCCAGGACAGCACCCTGTGATGCTTCGAATCAAGTCCCGTTTTTTTTCCCCAACAGCGTAAGCTAATGGGGTCTTCAGCCCAGAATAGCTCCGGTGTGCACATGTGCAGGCGCCGGGTCAGGTTCAACGGGGTTCCGGAGAAGGTTCCGGAGAAGGTCTGGGAGGCTTTGGTTCATGCGCTCAGGTTCAACAGGGTTTCGGAGAAGGTTCTGGAGAAGGTTCTGGAGAAGGTTCCTTTGGTGCAGAGCCAGGTCAGGTTCAACAGCGCTCCGGAGAAGGTTCCACAAAAGGTTCCGGAGAAGGTCTGGGAGACTTTGGTGCAGAGCCACATCAGGTTCAACAGGATTCCAGAGAAGGTTCTGGGGGAGGCTTTGGTGCAGAGCCAGGTCGGGATCAACAGGGTTTTGGAAAAGGTTTCGAAGAAGGTCTGGGAGACTTCGGTGCAGATCCAGGTCAGGTTCAAGGGGGTTCCGGAGAAGGTACCGGAAGGCTTTGGTGCAGAGCCGGGCTACTGAGACAATCCACAGCTACCCAAAGGACACTGTTTTCAGCCGATGGGATGTTTTTCAAGATAACGCGGTCGTGTGTATCAAACGATGTCGTATATCGTCGTCAAACACATCCGAGAAGTACCAGACGTAGAAGACCTTCAAACATGCAAATGAAAAATAAATCGGTTTCAAACAAAAATGATTCGCGGCACACGGATGTCAAAGTAATATCTACTTTTGAATGTAAATGTACAAGTATTTTTTTGAAAAGGATGATTCTCTCTCTCTCTCTATATCTATATATATATGTACACACAGAATATCTGCAAACTGCATGGTTCCCAGCCTAGCGACAACGTTTTCGTTGGCTCGTTTCTTCGGAGATCTGGGATACCACATTCGTTTTGGCTCGTGTAGCAGCATGGGCGCTTTTGACACATTGCATGCTCAAAACCCCGGAAGTGGGTGAAGCGAGCTATAGCCAGCAATCGTGAATCATCGTCAACCACATTCGCGCAACCAGCCGCCAAAACAAAGTGGCAACAACTATTTATAATGTTCATTCTATGAGGCTTCAAAAACAGGCCGCAGCATTTAACAACGTAGCAAAAACATTAACGCTGTTTCGGGCCAGGTTCAACGAGGTTCCAGAGAAGGTTCCGGAGGGCTTTGGTGGAGAGCCGGGCCAGGATCAACGAGGTTCCGGAGAAGGTTCTGGAGAAGGTTCTGGAAGGTCTTGGTGCGGCCAGGTTCAACGAGGCTCCAAGTAGGTTCTGGTGCGATTCGGGCAGTGTGTCGGTGTAGCTTTTCGGTCAAGTTCCAGCAAATTTCGGACCAAAACATTTGTGAAGCTTATTTGCTATTGCTGTTGGGGATACCACCGAAGCTTATTTTTTAATCGCTAAACAAAGGGAGTAACATGTTTTTTTCTTCACCGAGAAATTCATAGGTATGTTTGGATTCTTGAAACCTATACATGTACAGTACTCAATGCATTGAGTGAAGATTGAAGGTTGGGTAAAAAAAACGTTTTGTTATTTTCATCAAAAACAACAAATCTAGTGGTCGAACCCGAAACCAATCCAATTGTTCGATGATTAACTCATATTAAATCACGATTTTCCAAGCAATCCTGTGGTATCCCCAGGTATTTGAAGGAACATGTTGCAGTGGCCCTCAGCGTTGTGGCACTGATTGTGGCCCTTGCGAAGTGCCTGTGGCTGCGAGTCGATCCTGGTGGATGGTATCAAGATGGTTTCATGAAATACCTGGGATATTTTGGTATTTTATTATTTTTTTAAAAAGATGGGTGATTGATTTTTTGGTATCCGAAAATATCATACTAACCATCCGCAACAAAAAGGTCCCCAGAAAGAATAGATGAAATGCTAAGCCAGGCTTTCTAGAGGAGCTATTTGATTTCAAGGGGAAGGGAATACATTTTTCGAGAGCCACCAGGAACTGAAAGTTGGATGCTTGAATTGTTTGTTGTTGCGAAAATGGCGCATCTGAGAAGTGGAGGATTGGGGGTTGATGTGGATCTAAGAAGTGTTGGCGTCATGGAATCCAAGGGTAACCCCGAAGGTACACCCTCTAATAAGGGTTGATGGGGGTTATACAATACCCCTTAATAAGGCCTTGTACTTTTGGGTTTTGTGTTGGGGGGTTAAAATGAGATTTCCATGACGGTGGTTGATGGTTATAGTCATAGTACACTAACAACAAAAGTGAATGGGTCAAAACTATTGACCCACCAATGGCCAAAACCACACATTTTCGGCGTACGAATATGTATATGCATACATACATATACATATATATATATATATATCTAATATATATATATATATACATATCAATCTATCCAAATGAGGATGTATACAAACGGCGCAATAGCAAACAGGCGGTTTTGGGGTAGGTAGAAAACGTGTCATTTCATCTCAGAAGTCCCGACCATGTCTTCACTTCCAGGGGCGAAACAAAAACAACAGTGGTCCAGACCATGTACGAAAAAAGGGCTTCGCAATTGGTATCCCTTAGCTCTGGCTTCAGTCCAGTGAGTCATAGCCGTCCAGGTGAACCGAGCACAACGTCGCGGATGGGCCACCGGGAAGCGGGGGCCTGGGGGCCTGGCACTTGGAGGTCCCTGGATGGGAATTTCCGGACTTTGAAAATGGGGGTTACTGTGCCATACAAAGGGCCATATTTTGTGGGGGGGTTCCCTTCCACATCCAATTTAGGTTCCTGAAATGGCCAGCAATTGAGTGGATACATGTGTACATATCATAGTATGTGCATACATACGCCATATCTATGGTACTAGCTAATGGATGGACATGCCCAAGATACCTGATCATAGTGCCAGCTATGAATCACTAGCAGTGGATGGGACATCCTTTGTTGACCAGGGATTGCGATAACGATGAAAAAGGCAACAAAAAACACCCTAAACAGGGAACCATGTCCATTTTGCCAAACTCAGGGTCGATGAAACCTTGGCAGGAGGTGAGCAGCGGCTCTGTTGTACCTTCCTTTTTTGGAGATACAGTTTTCGCAATTTCTCAGCTGGACGGCCATTGAGACCCATCGAAACGCATCGATAAATGGATCGCGGGCGCCGCGTCGGGCTTGGACATCGGGGCCGGGGTTTTGGACCAATGGTGGACGGTGCAAGTAGGACCAAGTAGGATTGATCATCCCATCTGCACTTGGATATCACTCTCATGATTATATGTATATATATATATTTATGATATATTAATATATATGAATATATGTACATATGTGTGTGTATATATATATATACACACTACCTACAGCTACCAGCTGAGACATCCGCTGGGTCCAAGTACTGTTTTCCCCTGAGAGTGCAGCAGCAAGGGTCGTTTTTTTTGGCTCAGTGTCAAACGTCGAAGTGCATCCCCTGACGCCCTGCAGAGCACAATGGCCGCTGGACAGATGTCATTTGAGGGCTGGAGGAGTACCGATAGTTGACAATTGTCAATGTGGGTATGGATGAAATCTGGAGACACAAATGGTCGAAGCAGCAAAATTTGTAGGTCATACAAATACACGCATACAAAACTGGTGACTGCGTCCTTTGTTCAGTATACTGTAACTGGGTTGGTTACCCGAATGGGAAATCGAGACTTGTTGCTTGATCCGGCAAAAAAATGGTCGCATCACTCTTGTTGTCAGCATGATTTACTTAAAGAAGGCCGTGGTTAGCAAATGTAACAATCATTTCAGCAATAATGAGCTTGAAGAACTCCATTCAATAGCCACAATGAGGCCCCTCAACGCCGCACTCGGGCATCGCCACTCTTGGTGGCCGGCCTCGTGTGTTCGCTGCGCCTGGGAGAAAATCAGGAGGGATTCAATGCTTCGGATGGTTTAGACATGTTTAGACCATTTGTACCACCTATGATCACCTATGGTTCGGTGGGACAATTCCCCACGGATATATCGGTAATTTGGGAATCTCAATCCAAAACCTGAGATCAGTTGGCACTTAAATGGGCCTCCAGATTTATCAGGTCCAATATCAAGCCCCAGTTTTGATAGGGTGTATCAATATTTGGAAGACGGGATTAATGATTCAAAGATGGACACCTACCAGATACAATTAACAGTTAACAGAATGGGGATGCAAGCAGCAAAAAAAAAGGTTTCTCAAACCAACCTAAGGAGTACTAAAAGGAATTCGTTAGAATTATCGGACAAAAGTACCATATATCCATACAGTATATTGTATATATATATATATATTAATCATAGGACCTGGCTTTGCCTGCGAGTCTATGGTGGTTGGTGGGCTATCGGGGCCCTATGTACAGTCGCTTAGGAGGATCGGCCAGCACTCCTGTCACCCACTGGTTACTGGGACCCTCTAAAAAGGTGCAACTTTGTAGAGACCACAGGGACCGAAGCAATGATGTCTACTGGGAGATTGGTTTTTCAATTTTCACTGGCAATTTCATCTGAACTTTCGTGTAGCTCATCCATTTTTCTTGCTTAAACCAACTTTTGCTGGGCAAAACCTCCATTTTCGCTGCGCATTTGAGGTGCTGCGCCAGCTGGACCTTCGCCGCACCGCAGGTGCCACGCTCTGTGCAGCAGGGCGCCGCCGCGACCTTGACCACCTCGGGCAGCAGGCGGTTGGGCAGTTGGATGTGCGAGTGAAATCGCAATTTTCATGGGGAAAATGAGAATCCATGGGATTTTGGGGGGAACATGATATTTTCAGGTAAACCCAGTTTTTGATTGTTTTTTTGCTGCTCATTTTTAGGTAGACATCATCATACTTTGCTGAGAATCCGATCATTTCTTGGATCTCGATATTTTTGACATGCAAAACAAACTGTGACGGAAGTTTTGGACTTAAGATTGTTTAAACATGTTTTTGTGATTTGTTCTGTTGGGGTTGATTGATGTCGAATGTTGATGGTGTTTGGGGTTTACCACCTTCCCAGTTTCTCCTTTCAGCATGCAGCATCTACATCTAAGATTCGCCACAACATTCCCTGGCAAAAGAACATCTAAAGAAATAGAAAAGACCTGAATACAGTATTCAAAAAAAAATGCAGATTCTCCCTTGACATTGGGGGCTTCCTAAAATGAAATGGATGGTTTATAGCGGAAAATCCCAAAATTATCCATGGATGATTGGTGGCTGCTTCACCAACGGCTTGAGGACATGGGCCTTGGGCACCCTGCCTCGCGATGAGTCCGTGGTGGCTACCAATGCCGTGGCGGCAGGGGCCAACTTCTTTAGTAAGGCGGGGTTGATGCCAGCCATGAATCCGGGGTAGGGATTGAAAGTCCTGTAAAGGATTGTAAAAGCTGAGTCTAGTTGATTATTCTCTGGGGATTTAAGGGAGATTTCAACATCATTGGTGATATTCAGAGAGTTTTCACTTTTAAACATCAAACATATGGAGACACTTAGAATTCATAAATGCTGGTCATTTTGGGGCTTTCGAAACCAGGGTACGTTTGGAGTCCAGGTTGGATGGGGGGATGTCCCATGATGCCTGAGGTCTTTGCTGCAGGAGCCCAGGGTGCAACCGCATCTTGCACAGAAATGTGGTGGAATGCGGCTTGGGGTTGGGTTACCCTGCTGTTTTCAGATAAATCAACCTGTCTGCAACTTCTTGTTTGTTTTCAGGGAATGGCTACAGTCTTCAGTATAAGCATCCCACCGATTCAAAGTATGCATTATCAATCTGATTCATGATATACAGGCACCCATCACCAGATACGCCAAGAACAGGGTCAAACCAAAATCGACTAGGAAGTCCATCTCTCTCTCTCGCTCAATTGCCATTTGAGAATGGCTCGAAATTGGATACCCGCAAACTTAGAGATCAACATAAACCCTCCGGTAATCACAATGGGTTGTCCCCTTCAATGGAGGTTTAGTTTTGGCAAATCGATGGGGATTTCCATCCATGTGACTCTCAGGCTGCGTTCGTGGCTGCCATCTTGTCAGCGATTTGCGAGCCTCTGGCCACTGGGTCTGCAGGAGGGTCATCACAAATTTAGATCCGATTGGATGGCCAATGGGGCAACTTCTCGGTTGAAAGTTGAGAATCTTTTGGAATTTTCTTTGCCAATTCATGATTTACGCCCATTTCATGGCAAGTTTCATGCTTTTAGAAGTCGAAAAAACAGGTGAACCGACTGCTGGTGAAGCGCATGACCGTGGGCCAGGCGGTTGAGTCTTGGGTTGCGGTTGGGGTTTTTGCGAAGAGTTCGATATGGAAAATCATTGCTTTCCCAGGGAAAATGATCTACAAATGGTGGATGTTCCATGTCTATATAAATGAACTGGTAGGTAAGTTAAATAGTAAGATTTGTTGAGATACAGGCTTCGGAATTGCCAAGAGTGGAGGGCTTTGTTGAAGTAAAAACAGAACAGCCAGCAGCTGTCTCTACACTCTACACGCTATTGTCGCTAGTGACGCTAGCCGAGTCACCAAGACTGGGGGCGTTTCGACAGGCCATGAAAGAGATGAACTTCAAGCTGATCGCGAACTTCTTTTTGACCACCTTCCCAACCAACATGTCGCTTGGCAATGCTGGGTAGATCGGGCACCAGTAACGTACTGGAGTAGACAGACATTTCTCTGTTAAACACATGCATCATTTAGACATTGGTGGTGTTCCCCCGATATGTTATATAATGTTGTATATTCTATTATATATATATTCTATCCCCTCCATGGTTACCAGGCTTTATCCACAGATTTTGGCCCGGCCAGGCTGAAGTTCCCAGTCTTTGAGATCATCAACATGGCCATGACCTTCACGGCCTTCAGCCCCGGCGTGAGTGCCTTGCCTCAGAACCGCTTTTTTTGGGCCCTGGAGCTGAAGCTTCCAGTCTCTTCAGAGTGGAGCCTTCTAAGGGATCTTGGCAGCTTTGTGTTACCTGTTACCTGTTGGAGCCATCATAGGCCATTGATCTGGGTAAATTATAACCTTAATTCAGGTTAGTGAAATATTACAATTTACCCAGATTGATGAACATCTTTCAGATTCAATCTTTGGGTACACCCAAACGGCCCAAACGCTTGCAGCTTTGTGGCCGAGGCGGATTCATCAGTGGCTTTCTCTTCTGCACTGTCATGCTGCCGGTGGCGGCCTCAGAATATTTATGGCACCTCCATACGACCATTCACCGATTTTTTTTTTCAGCAAAACATGTGCGGTCACCATGATGAGTCTTGGTAATCAAACATGGCAATGGAAAATACCACATTTAGTTCGATGATTTTACCATTCAAACCTCCATTGAGTCATTTAGTTCGGTGATTTTCCAGCCAACCACGGCCATGTGTTTTAGATGGCTTTATCGGATAACGCCATCGGCAGGTGACCAACTACCGCTTCCGCAAGAGCATGGGTTGGGAGATCAAGCCTTCTCTCCTCTATCAGGCATACGTGAGGAGAGCCCAGTGGGACCAGTGGCGGGATGGAAGATCATCCCACTGTTTTTTTTGTGCGTTTCGGAACTGGGCTTAGTTCATCCATTTATAAAGGAGATAAGCCACGAAACAGGGACTCAATAAATAGGGGGTCTGGTGAGCTCATGGATAGGACAGCCACCATTGGAACATTGGTCATACACTATTGTAAAGGATGAAATCGCCATCATGGTTCCACGTATTTTTGTTGTTTATTCTCTCTGATTTTACTTTATCACCTCTCCATTTTCCCAAAAAAGCATTTGTCTTTCAAAATATGGTTCAAGAAGCGTTTCTGGTGGGGGTGGACCGTGGACCTCCCAAAACAACCACAAGAACTTATTCCCTTTCCAAACGGGGTCATATGGATTGTCCGTTTTCTCTATTGCCTCGTGGCTATGCTACTTGCGGGTCAAACCGTCCATTTTCAGATAAACGCAAAGTATACATCCCATATTCCCCTTTATGGATAGTCATATCCCTATATTATCCCCTTCATATCCCTATAAATAATTAATAAATGGCACTATTTCAGGAACCTTAATTGGAGGTACGTACCATATAAAATGCATATGTAAGGGCTATATAAGGGAATATCCCCACAATATATGACCTTATATGGTACAGTGCCTCCATTTTAAGATTGTAGGGTCCTGAAATGCCCGCTGAATGCTTATCCCATCAGCTCTTTTAGGCACTTGTTGATTTAAAGAGCCAATATCAGATCCCAAGGATCGACATTGAGGGAATATGATTTTAATACTCTGTATCATATCGCACATATTCCCGTTTAATATTCCCTTAACGTCCCTTCACCAACCGTGCGTTCGATGCTTCCTTCCGATGTGTTCGGATTAGTTCAAGTTTCAACCTCATTTGCCCGCCAACTTGGCTGTATGAGACAGGAAGGACGCGCCCAAATTGCTTTTTTGAAGATCTTTGGGGATGGTCATCAATCCAACAGGAATTTATAAACCAATTATATCCAATTGTAAAGATTCCCATTCTGGGATGGATGACCATAAACCATATCTCATATGATGAAATCCATATATCTCCTATTGTTGTTGGTTAAATCCATAGGACACTGTTGTGACTAAGTTGGATCCCATACAATCCCCAGGCCATCACCATTCATCATGATACGATTCAAACTATCCGCAAATGGGAGTTGTTTATGGTCGCCAGGGTTTTCTACATTACTAATATTCCATCTGTCAAATCCCATGAGATCCTAATTGAAATTTCCCGCTGATTTTCCCTTAGTGGGGATGATATCCCATTTCTTCCCTGATATTCCCATATGTTCCCATGAAATGCCCCTTAAACAAGAGTCCCATATGATCCCTTTCCCATTTTTATTAAATCCCATTAGATCCCATGATATATATATATATATACTGCTGTTTTTACCACAGCACTCATAGGCGTTGACATGCCTATTCCGTGAAGTATTGGCTGAAAAGAGCCGCGGAGCGAGATTCATGAGGCGTTGAACACCCCTCCTTGTCCAATCGATTCCAGTGACTCTTCATATCCTACTTGAGCACTTCTACCGCTTGCACGGTAGCGGAGCCTGCCTACGGGCGGGCGTGAGACCAGGGACCTACAGCCTCCTATTGCCAGAGCCATAGGAGGAACAACATGGCGGAGAAGCAGAAAAGGATAGAGAAGACGCGAGAAGGAGTTCCCATTTGGGATGGAGATGCCGGAACATATCAGGAGTTTGAAGAGAGCGCTTTGCTGTGGGAGCAATCCATTGCAATGCACAAGCGCTACTTGTGCGGCCCGAGGCTTCTCACAGAGCTGACGGGCACTGCTCGCAGGTTCACTGTGGGCAAGCATCCCGAATGGCTCTCCTTCAATGGAGGCGTGCAGCGGCTTCTGACGTACCTGAGGTCAAACTTGGGCCTTCCACAGATGCCTGAACTGACGGATCATTTGAGCCGTTACTTCCGGCAGTCCAGGCGCAAGAAGGGGGAGACCATGAATGAGTACGTCACTAGAAAGTCAGAACTGTATGCAAGAGCTAGGCAAGGACTTCACAGGGTGATGTCTCACTATGAGAAAAAGAAGCCAGCGTGGGAGAAGAGCTACGGCGGCTATAGCCGTCCAGGGTCCACCGACCCTTGGGCCAACTACAGGAGGACACCCTCCCTGGCTGGCAGTCAGAACCTGAGTGCTGAGGAGATTCAGGATGATCGGGAAGCGCTTGCTCGACCTGATGATCAAGCTGAGGCCACCGAGGATGCAACTGAGGAGCGAAGCTCCACTGGTCCAGGTCCTTCAGGAGACTCCTGGAGTTATCCGGACTGGTGGTCAAATGACTGGTGGAGTACCTCTTGGACACCTTCCGAGAATGCCGACTGGAATGTGGAAGCCCCTGAACTACTACCAGAGTATGTTCAGGGCTGGTACCTCCTGTTTGATTCTGGCCTGGACACCAACGAGCGCAACATGATCGTGGCAGCCCTGAAGGGCGACTTCACTATGACCCGAGTGGCACAGGAGCTACGCAGCCAGTGGACTGATGAGGACCTGCGTCGTCGAGATGCAGCTAATCGTCACTCCAGCTGGTGGGTGGATGAGAATGAAGAGGCCGAGTCTGAGGACTATGACACTGCCTGGGTTGCCCAGGCTCACCGCAACTTCAATGACGAGGGCCTCGCACTCCTGGGTGAAGCTGAAGATGTGGCTCAAGAAGCCCTAGCCATGATGGAGCGCGGGCGTCGCACCTTGAAAGAGGCCAGACAGAAACAACATCAGGTGAGGATGTCCCGGAAGTACTACCGCACCAACTTCAAGCCCTCTGGAAGCACTTCGGCTGTAGCTTCTGGCACAGATCAAAAGTGCTTCCGATGTGGTGGTCCTCACAAGACTTCATCATGTCCAAAGGCAATGGCAACAACGACAGCCTCTTCAGCCGAAGAGCAGGCTGCACCTTTCATCTGTTTTGCACAAGACCAGATCACCAAGGACCATGAGATTGTGGAGCCCTATGTCCCGGACGACCACGAGGTGAACTACCTGGATGCTGGGTTCTCCGATGCTTGCCCAGAGGCCTTCTTTGATGTTGCCGACACCAACAGCATAGGGCCTATCTCCACTCAGATGGCCGTCGAACAAGGCAAGGCTGTCGTTGATGGAGGGGCTACAAAGACCCTTGGCAGCGTGGTGGCCCTCGAGAAGATCATTGCCCTCAACAAGTACAAGCATGGGACTTCTCGTTTGGCCGACCTTGACTTGGAGAACAAGCCTACGTTTGGTTTTGGAAATTCATCAAAGAACCAGTGCGTGTCCACAGCCTCACTCGAGGTTCAAGCTGATGGCAAACCTGGACAAGTACAAGTACATGCGTTGGATGCGGGAGCAGGACCTGTGCTGTTCTCCATTGAGTCCTTACGGGCCTTGGGAGCAATCATCGACTTCTCTGAGGACATGGTCGTCTTCCGCAAGATCAACCCGTCCAAGATCATCAAGATGGAACGTTCGGCCACTGGCCATCAGCTGCTGCCCATGACTCAGGATTGGTACAGTGATGCTCGGAGCACTGCACAGCCAGTGCCGAGCCTGAATGCTTTCCTGTAGGGACAACTCCTTTCTTTCCGTGCGCCTGAGATGGAAAGGAAGGTCAGTAGCGATGTTTCAGGCACTTTTCACAACCCCTTGAAAACATGGTTGGTGATCCTAGCATTCATGATGATGTTGGGTGTGTTGTTCATGACCATGTGGTTGTTGATGATGAAAAACTTTCCCAGGGTTTCCATGGACATGTTGGAAAAATCTCAGACAGCAGTCAGTGTACAGAGCCAAAACAACCTCCTCCTGCAGCTCTCCAGCACAAGCTAGACGAGATCCCCAACGAGTCAGTGAACAAGAGCCATGCCTCGTGCCACCAGAAAGGAATTGGTGGAAGAGCTCCTGATGACCTTTGGCGAAACAGCTCCAAAACAGTGGAGCATCATGGAGATCGAGAGTCGCCTTTTGGAACTCAAGGAAGCCAACGGGATGGTCACTCAGAAAGGGAAGGTACGGCCACCGATGCGCCATGCCATGATCGAACTGAACAAGGCCAGCAAGAAGAAGTCCGACCTTGTGGACTACGTGAACAACAAGCTCATGGTGAAGACCCGCGGCACCGAGACCATTCAGGAGCTGCAGCGCTTGGGCACCAAGAAGATCTACCAGACCACAGCCGCCTCTCCGGAGGACCCTGTGGGGTTCGGGGAACACTGCAGTCTGCAGTACCACAAGCTTCTAGCCCAACACCCACAGTATGCCAGCTGGGTCGTGAAGACCGCCACCGAGGGGGAATGCGACTACCGCCTGGCCCGTCTGGCCAATTGGCTCCAGAGCCCAGAGGCACAGCATCCGATGCCGACCTACAAGCAGACCTCCAGCGGCTACAAGAACACATCGACGCCGGCCAGCGGCTCGAATGGCAAGACCGAGAACATGATGATGCAGATGATGCAGATGATGCACGCCCTCAAGGAGGACGTGGACAATCTGAAAGCCGAGAGGCCTCACAAGAAGGTCGAAGCATCCAGTGTCTCCGAGATGACAGAGTCATCCCAGGCTCTTTTGTGCCGATCCCACAGTAGCTTCAGCTGGGAGTGTAGAAAACTTTAATTTGTCACAGGCGGGAATGCAGGTCGACAGTGAGCTCTGGAGGGGCTCATGGGAAGCCTTACCTGAGCAAAAAGTAAGACACTTGTCCCATTGCAGTGACAGATTGATTTCGAATGCCTTTGAGGCCCTGCTATCACACCAGCGCATAGAGCTGCTGGAAGTGGCATGTTCGGCCGACAGCGTGCTGTCTCGCACCATGCAACAAAAAAAAGGTGACGAGGGTGCGGCCCGACGCTGCTCACTTTTCAATGAGTATGATTTAGGAACCAACCAGGGGATTCACAAAGTCATTCAAGATATTGACCATTATAAACCAAAACATGTTTGGCTTTCTCCGGTTTGTGGACCTTTTTCAGTGATGCAAAACATCAATCAGAGAAGTGAAGCTCAGAAGGAGGCCCTTTCTGAGAAGCGCAAAGCTGCCATGAAACAGTATGTCGGTTGCAGTGTCATATATACGTACTGTATTCAGCATGGTATACATGTCACTTGGGAATGGTCACAATCATGTCAGGCATGGAGGCTTCCAATGATGCAGGAACTGGTGAAGAAACACAATCCATGGTTTGCTGTGGTACGGGGTTGTCGTGTTGGTCTTGTTGATGATGAGAAAAACCCAATTTCAAAAGGTTGGAAACTCATGACCACTCATGCTTTGTTGGCAAAAAGGATGAACATGCCATGTAGTTGTGGGCCTCACCAGAAACATGTGAAGTGCGAGGGTTCCCTTACCAACAAAACTGCCTATTACACCCCCGAATTTGCCCGAAGGGTCTGTGATGCGTTGATTCATGGAGCGGAAGATGAAGACCTCAAAAGGGAGTTTGTGGGAGACCACCAAATTGGGGAAACTTTTGGTAATGGGATCAGTTGCAGTTGTCACCACATTCATGATTCTCAACATGGTTTTGTTTGCGGTTCATGTGTTCATGATGAGCATGAAAGAATCAAGGGAACCAATCATGTGACGTGTGACAGTAAGGGGAACCACGAAGTTCTGGTTGGGGAAGATAACCAACAAAGGGGTCAGGGTCTGACTATTGAAGAAATAAGAAAACGACTGTACCTCTTACATGCTGCCACTGGCCACGGGCCAACCAGACACCTGGTGCAAGCCCTGCGACGCAGGGGAGTGTCAGAGGATGTGCTCAGGGAAGCCGAACGTTTTGAGTGTTCAGTTTGTAAGGAACGGGGTAGACCGAAGCCACGACCTTTAGCCACCTTGGAGCCTCACCCCCCAAAATGGGCGTCTGTGTCAGGGGATATTGGGCACTGGGAACACCCACAAACTAAGGAGTCCTATCAATTTTTGATGTTCGTTGATGAGGGATGCCGTTTTCGTGTTGGAAAAATTGTTCTTACGGGGAAAAGAAGTCACCTTACTGCCAATCAGTTTGTTGAAACGTTTGGGGAACATTGGGTTCAGTATTTTGGTTTTCCTAATCAACTCAGGGTTGATCCGGATGGTAGCTTCAGGAGTCATGTGGTTCAAGAATACTGTGATAGGCACCAAATAATGTTGGACATTATTCCGGGTGAAGCTCACTGGAAGGTGGGCATTTGTGAACAGGCTATTCAGGGTACCAAGACTCTCATGAACAAAATAGCTGAAGATGACCCAGAAGTCACTGCAGCAGAAGCTTTGGCTGAAGCCACTAGGACCTTTAATAGCCGAGAACTGATCCGAGGCTATTCGCCCATCCAACATGCCCTTGGCCGTGCGCCTGATGCCACCGGGCGACTTTTCCCTTGCGGCCCCAGTGAATGTCCAGAGCTGCTGGTAGAGAACGCCTCTGGCGAGATGGATCGCCAGCTCCAGCGAATGCAAAGTGCGGAAAAGGCCTTCCTTGAATGGACGGCAAGCCAGAGACTCCAAAAAGCCAAGAACTCAAAACCCAGAGATGTCACCAACTATGAGCCAGGAGACCTAGTGTATGTGTGGAGAAAGCAAGTGAGCGGCCAAGCAGCCATTAAAGGTGGCTCGTTTGTGGGGCCAGCCCGCATCCTGGCGGTGGAGCAACATCGCTCTCCCGACGGGACCCACAAGCAGGGCAGCTCAATTTGGTGCGTCAGAGGGAGAAGACTTCTCAAGTGCTCCCCAGAGCAACTACGTCGAGCCTCCGAGCGGGAGGTCCTCTTAGAAGAACTACATGCCAAACAATACGATGACTGGGACTTTGATAGAGTAGCTCAACAACTTGGAGGGAACGAGTTTCTGGATGTGTCCACCGAAGTACCCTCTTATGCAGAATGGCTACGAGCTCAAGATCCAGTCCAAGAATGGCAACCAATGAGAAGATGTGCAAGAAAACGAGGCCCCATGGTAGATGAGATGAGTGGCATGGGACCGGCTCCTCCAACATCCAGGCCAACAGGGCGATCCAGGAGTCCAACTTCCAGGCCTACGCCTTCTACATCTTCAGGAGCACCCGTGTCACAGAGGCCTCGAATGAGTGCCCAACAAGGCATGGCTGCTGCCCCACCATGGTGGAACCAGTCAAGTATCCAGGAAGTGTTTGCAGTCACCGAGTGCACCTTCTGGATGGATGAGACCGCGGCCGTGGCCGTGGAGGTTCCCATGCCAGACACACGTGCTGGATCTGAACGAGCTCTTCGAGATCTCCCTTCTTACTTTGCCAGTAGCTTGAAGAAACGGTCAGCAGTTGAAGTCTGTGAGCGTCACCTATCTGAGGAAGAGCGACAACAGTTCCGATCTGCAAAGGCCGTGGAAGTGAGTAACTTCATAGCTGCCAAGGCTTTTGAAGCCCTTCCAGAGAAACTTCGCCCAGCACGCGAACAAGCAGTGAAGATGCGTTGGATTCTGACATGGAAGCAGAAGGAGGATGGCAGCCGAAAGGCGAAAGCCAGAGCCGTTCTTTTAGGATACCAAGATCCCTGCTATGAACAGAGAGCAACGACTTCTCCAACCACGACTCGCCAGACCAGGCAACTGCAGATGCAATTAGCCGCTTCATATCGCCACAAGATGCGAAAAGGTGATGTGACAGGTGCTTTCCTGCAAAGCAGGCCATACCCTGATGACCTTTTTTGTATACCATGCCCAGAGATCTGTGAAAAGATGGGACTCCCAGCAGAGTCAATCACCAAAGTGAAGAAAGCCTGCTATGGCTTAGTTGATGCGCCACTGGAATGGTATCGTTCCATTTCAGATTTCTTTGCAAAACTCGGATTGCAAAAATGCTGGAGTGACGCATGCTGCTGGGTTTATGTGGTTGATGGGGTTACCAAAGGGATTATTTCTGGTCATGTTGATGATTTCCTTTTTAGTGGGGATGAAATGCATGAGGGTTGGTGTACTGTTCTCAAGAGTATCCAAACGGAATATAAATGGGGAGATTGGGAAGAAAAAAGGTTTACCCAATGCGGAGTTCAAGTGGAACAACATGAAGATTTTTCTTTTTCGTTGTCACAATCGAAGTATGTTGAAGACTTGAAATATATTAACCTGAGAGCCTTTAGAAAGAAAGACCGAAATGCACCCACTGAGGAGTCTGAGAAAACACAGCTTCGGGCCTTGCTGGGAGGGGTCTCATGGCACGCACAACAAGTTGCGCCCCACTTCAGTGCTGAAGTCGGCTTGCTGTTGTCAGAGGTGAACAAGAGTACTATAGAGACCATTTACAAGGCTAACAGGTTACTTGATAAGGTCAAAGATATGAAAGAACACTGCATGAAGGTACATGCCATAGAACCACACATGTTGTCACTGTTTGCATGGGTAGATGCCGCCTCTCAGAACCGCGTAGATGGCTCAAGCACACAAGGCATTATAGTTGGAATTTCATCTCACCGGTTACGTCATGGCAGTTGTGAGCCAGTCACCTTTGTCGCCTGGCATTCGCAGAAGATTGGCAGGATCTGCCGCAGCCCCGGAGCAGCAGAAGCAGCAGCAGCAAACAACGGAGAAGATCTCCTCTTTTTTGCGAGATTCCAACTGGCAGAAATGATGGGAGCTCAAGTCAATGTGAGAGACATCAACAGTGTCGTCAACCAGATCAGTGGATGCCTGGTTACTGACTCCAGGAATGTGTACGACAAGTTAGAGACCGAGGTCTTGTCCGTGAAGGGCGCTGAGAAGAGAACAGACCTGGAGTTACTCTCCTTGAAATCTGCCCAGATTCGCAATGCTGTGGAGATTAGATGGGTTCATAGTGAAGCTCAGCTATCAAACGGGCTGACCAAGAGCAACGAGCACAAGCAACTGCACCTGTTCTACCGCATGGGCCACAAGTGGCGCATAGTCGAAGATGAAGAAAGAGCGTCAGCTCGGAAAAGGAAACTGCTAGGCCTGGAGCCTCTTGAAAACAGAAAGAGTCAAGGGCCAGAAATCGAGCCGGAGACACCATGGAAACCCACGAAATGATTTTCGTCTTGTTTGGTTTTTCTTTGTCTTGGTTTTGGTTTTGGAGAAAATGTTCAAGGGGTAGCATCACCATCTCACAAGGAGAAAGAAGATGCAGGGGGCATGCTGTTTTTACCACAGCACTCATAGGCGTTGACATGCCTATTCCGTGAAGTATTGGCTGAAAAGAGCCGCGGAGCGAGATTCATGAGGCGTTGAACACCCCTCCTTGTCCAATCGATTCCAGTGACTCTTCATATCCTACTTGAGCACTTCTACCGCTTGCATATACTATAATATAATATAATATTATATATATATAATATAATATTATATATATATATAATATATATATATTATATTCCTTACATCTCCCAAAAAATATCCCATCTATTCCCAAGACATCTCCCTTTTTTCTTTCCCTAGCACCTTGATCTGAGATCCCCACCGTGGTGCGCGACATCATCTACGGCTGGGCCCGGGGCTTCGTCAATCCCGTGGCCTCCGCCTTCTTCAAGCCGCAGACCTTCACGCAGGATGTGCCTCGAGGGCGCTGGGGCAGCTGGGGCAGGGGGTCGTTGCTCCGTGAGAAAAATGCTGGGAATGTTCCAAAAGGTGCCGGAAAATTGGGGCAACATGCCCGTTTTTTTGGAATGCTGGGAGATTTCTTGGGAAAAAAATCGTGGATTTTGGTGATTTGGAATTTGAAAGGGGAAACACGTGATGAGAATGATGCAAAGGAGGGGTGGAAATTTGGAACGCATTCCATCCAGTGGTTTAGAAGATTGTGTTCCCCAGTCAGAAATGGCGATTTTTTTTTCAACCAAAAAACAGACAAAAGCATTGGTGAACCGAAGACAGCAGCACGGACCCAATAAAAACACAGCAAAATATAAAAAGTCAAAGGATTTCAACACATCGTGCCCGCATTGAAGACACCCTTAGAAGATTTGGCCTTGTATTGGATCTGTTTATTTGGGGTCTCATTTCGGGGTACTCAATATTTCGGGGATAGGATGATTCTCTGTCGCCAAAAATGGAGAGTCTGCGCCGTTGGATCTGTTTGATGAGGCCTTCGTATTCGCCTTCGTCATCTGGGCCGCCTGCTACTGGGCAGATCTACACGGGAAATCTGGTGGTGGAGTGTTTCTACGCGTTTTGGGTGTGTCATCATTAACAGCACCTTTCCAACGGGGATCACCCAGATGACCCAAATGGCCCAAATGGAGAGCTGGGTTTTCCATGTCGCCTCAAGCGTCTGTAAGCACCTGGCAAGGCTTGAAGGGTACCGGTTAGTTATGCCAGAATTGGATGAACTTGAATCTCCCAGATTTGCCAAGACAAACACATCAAGTCAAAAACAATGACGTTTTCATGTGGCTTTCCCTTCAATGTAAAAAGAAGTGGATCTCTCCAACAAAATTTCTGCCGGCCAAGGCATCTTGTCGTCCCCTTGCAACGAGTGGAGAGGATACACCTTGCAGCCAAAGGACAAGAAGTCCCTGGACCCAATTGGCACTTGATTGGGGTTCGATGTGATATACATCCCAAGTTGCAGCGATTTTGGTGGAGAGATGGGTGTGTGAATGTGAAATCCCAGAACCTTTTAGGAATCCTATTTTTTGGGGACTGAATGCCTTGACTCGGAAGAATTGCCTCAATCTGGCTGAGGTTGACCTTCTCTGAATACTTCAAGCCAGTGAACTATGCTCGATCCACCGGTTCCTGGGTCCCTGAAGTTTCCACTGTCATTCGGCATGTAGTTTCCATGATATTTCCATTTCTAGCTGCAGTCAGCTGCCACTATTTTCGTGTCATTTTTCTTTTTTCCCCGCAGCTGCCCTGAGTTTTCCGAGCTTGGAATGGAATCCTGGGCGACGTTACCAGGCATCGGCGCCACCATCATGGGCATCTCCCTCTTCATCGGTAGACTTGTGACCCCATATGCCGAGAAGGCCTTCGCGTTTCCCAGATGCAGGGCATGGACTATGCCTGGCACTTTTTTTTGTTCCCCCGGTCGTCCGAAACGGAGAAAACGATGATTCTTTTTGGGGACTTTTGCACTTTGGAAATGCTGAGTCCTGATTTGGGGAAATATGGAAAACAGCCCATAGACTTACTAGTCATTGCCCTCAGTCACAGTTTCCATTCAAGCAACCTTCGAATCTCAATGATCATTGATCACCGTTTTCTGTTACAATATTCATTCTTGCTCCTTATTCTTGGTCTATCCTTATCATGAAATCCCAATTGCAGTGACTTAACGCACCATTCAATTCACCTGCCGAGGTTCATGAAAGTCCACCCCGCCGCGGGTGTGGTGGCGGTAGCTGCCTTTGTGGCCCTCTTCAAGGCCATCTCGTCGTGACTTGGGCGACGATGCTGTTGTGTCCAAAAAAGCGACGAATTTGTGGGAAATTTACCGAACAAATAGGATATTATATATATACACATTATATAATATGTATATATATAATATAATAATATATATATACGCATTATATAATGTGTATATATATATATATCTATACGTATGTAACCGCACATAAACAAGGTAATGCCGCCCGTAAAGACGCGGGCTCTTTTTAACTCATCCTTCTCGGATGTGCTCCAAGACATGTGGCACAGCTGTCCAAAGGTCTTTGCCATTGTTGTATCTGTATTGCCAGCTGTAAGTCCACTGCCAAAGACCTTACACGAACGTTAACATCACCCCACCCATCCCCATACCCAACCCAAGCATCGTGATTGACGTAGTGTGCAGAAAGCGTGCAAGCTAACACGAACGTTAACATCACCCCACCCAGACCCATACCCGCAAGAAACATCGGACGTTAAAAAACGTTAAAAGTCCCCGCGCCTTTATGGGCGGCGTTAGCATAAACAACAATATGATATGTTTTTTTGGGTGTGTCAGAAAAATGGTTCGTATGGCCATCAAAATTTAGGGAAAATGGTGATTAACCATCAAACTTGGGGTGGAAGGACTTACGTATAGTTAATCTAGAGGTTACAAATTGTTGGAACTCACATACAAAATCTTTGAATTTGCTGGGAACCAAATGTAGATCAGTAGATCCTCAGCAAGTAAACAAACCCGTTTGGAAGTCCATTCGGACGCCCAGAAATTTTCACCATGTCCATGTCCGCCGCAACTGAGGAGCGAGGAGGAGAAGCCGGCACCTGCGCCTGCGAAGACTGAAGCCAAGGAGCCTGGACTACTTCGATCGAAGGTAGTGGACGGAATTTGGGTCCTTTTTAGGACGGGCCATCCGCCATGGGATTTGAGCTACCAGAAGGAGCTCAACCTGAAATGATGTTGGAAGCAATAACATTTGTTTTTTTGGGTTTGAAAATGAGTAATGTAGTAAAACCCAATGCTGCAGCCCCCAAGTTTTGGATGGTTGATACCAACCTATTTCTGGTAAAATTGGGAATAGCCTCTTATTAGGTCTTATTAGGTTTACCACCTTACTGTAATTAGTACTATGTACTGCAAACCATTCAGTTTTCGGGCTTAATCATTTTGGATCCCTGTTGATTGTTGAGCCATGTTGAGCCTGGGCCATATTGGGGGATGGTCAATCCATTCATGGGGATGGATTCCCATTGTAAGGATTCCCATAGGATAGATGACCACAACCCATGAAAATCCCATGCAACTTGACTTTTGACCGTGGCACATGTAATGATCATCATATTTGCTGGTTGTTAAAACTCGTTGTTTGAAGTAGAGCAAGGCACCCCAGCACACCTTGAACATGTGATGCACCCCAGAATTTCTACAACTTGAGCCCCCAAACCGTTTCCAAGCCATAGGTCCAGAATGTTCCAGACTTGGCGCAAACGACATAACCCACAAGACCTCCTTCATGGAACTTGGTGTTTTTTTTCCCCCAACAAACCCCGAAAACTCCTCGCAGGAAGAGGCCACTGAGGAGGAGAAGTGAGGCGAATGGCCACTTTGGCACAATTTTCTGGAAGTGAAGAGTTTCCATTTTTTTTGGGGAGCAATCACTTTAGCTAGGACAAACAATTGTAAATATGCTATGGATAGATATAGAATCTGCACCTGGTCGACTTTCCGCCCCGAAGAGCCGAGGAGACGGGTCATCCACTTGTTGATCATCATGTTGCCTCTGAAAATCGAATTTTTGGTGGTTTACAACCCATTTAAACTTACACACTTAGGTTTCAGTATGATATCATGACAATACACAATGCTATGTCCTATTCTTATCTATTTTTGGTAGCCAAATCCACATTTTAACCATCACAAAGATGGCAGATGGGTCCTCGCAGAAGCCTTGGGGCTGAGGTTAGCTTGGGATACCCGAGACGCAGCGTGGATGTGAATGTGGGAAGCGAGAGAGTTTTTCCAAGGTAAGGTGCTCCAATCAGGTCGTCATTAAAACATAGTCTGAGTGTTTGACAGTTTTGTTCAAGACATTTCCCCAATTCTTAATTGCGGATGGTTTTCCAGTAGTCAGCCAGCATTTTCGGCAAGTTGGAGATGAGTTTGAGAGTGCCTTATGGGGGCTACCAGCGCCACAGTGCCTTTAGATGCGCCTTGTTGGCATTTGGTGGCTCGTCGCCAACGATTTGATCTTTCGTCATTTCGTCAGACGCAGACCTTGTGCAAAAGAAGATAGCGCAAAAAATGCCGTGGCCGGTGGCAGTGGGTGGGATGGTCCTGGGTCGACCTTCCAGGTGGTATGGCATTTTTTGTTGAAAGCAAAGACGTAGGCACAGCACCCACTGGAGCCTGCCAAAGGTCGGGAATGATTACGGAAATTCAAGTATTTGTGGGATGTCCCAAGGGATTCGCAGTTTTGCCCCATGTTGAAACATCAGGTGCCATGACTGTTATGGTCCGAAACCCTTCCAGTCTGGTGACTTCCATGTTTCAGGCCAAGAGTCAGTGGATTTTGGTGACATGTCAAAAAAAACCATTACCCAAGCATTGATTTCATCAGCAACAACCATTGTTTTAAAGATAAAATCACCCATTTACCGACCTAAGCAACGACCAATGACCGCGGGGCCAGGTGCCTCGGAACCACCGCGGCGCAGCTGAGACTTCGACGATTTGTTGCGTTGAGATGAATTGGTCATTTACCTGGGGTTGTTTTGGGTAAATGTTTTGTGGGGGTCATTTTCTAAGATTCTAAGCACCATCCCTGTAAACTTGGGAGTCTTCCGGTATTTCCAATTTCATAAACCAGGGGATGAATGGGAATACGGCTACTTGGCCTGATGATGATAATCCCGCATTGCGTACCCTCAACAAGACTTCATTCCACAGCAAATCAATGCCAATATGCTCAAACTAGGCATGCAAGGTCTTTTTTTGTCCCAAATCAATTTCGGGAATGGTTTTGGCAGAATGAGGTATCAGTTCATTGTAACCTCACTGTATAGATAAAGAAAAAGAGGCGCCTTGAATAATATTACCTATTACCATAGTTTGTAGTCTGTAGATGATATAAGCTCCACTTTTTATGACTGAAAGGCGTCCATTATCACCACTTGGCTTGGTTAAAAATCATCGTTCGCCAAAAAAATGTAGTGATGGATTATAGCTAGCAGGTAGTTGGTCTTTTTTCGGACCCACCTGATTTTCCTCGTAAAAAACCAGGGTTATCTACCCATTGCCCTCCAATAATTTAACATAGATATGGAAAACTCACCACTTAGAAAATCATTTCTTGAACGGGAATGGAAACCAGAGGTTTTCCATCAGATTTTCCATCAGATTTTCCATCAGATTTTCCATCAAAAAATATATCTTTTTTTCCTGGGTACTTGGAGGATCATCGCAAAAGGAACTGATCCCTGGAACCTTCGCAATCGTAAATCTTCTGGTTTTAATGGGAACATCATCTACAAATGGGGGGTTTTCTCCCAGATATCACAGGTTTTTTTAATTTTCCCATCCCACTGACCTTGGAGGATCGTGGGGTGATCCTCCAAGTCAGGAGCCAATCTTCCATGGCCTTCAAGGGCGGCTGGCGGGTCAGGCGGAGATGTCGCCAAGAATCTGGGCATGTGGAAGAACTTGTGGGTTACAAACCAACTCACCAGAGATATCATATCATATATTTGTTCGTATATCATGCATATAGCACTGACACATGCATCATACAAGATAGATATAGAATATAGAATGACGTATATATATATATATATACATATACATAGAGATATGTATGTAAATAGAAGATTTGCAAGAGCAAATGATGCAGATAAATCAGGATCTATCCAAGTATCCATTGATATCTTGTGTGTTTCTGCACCACATCCAGGCGGCGATCAATGGTAACCGCCTGGCCCACCACCGTGTGGCGGTCTTGGGCCGGGGGTCTGAGCAGTTTTCATGGCTGGTGAGGCTCAAACCTAAGTGGATTCAATGATGGTTTGAATGATCATGACACTGTCAAATCTATTTTTTTTTTTGCCAACCTTGTCCGCAGTATATCCCCATCATGTCCCCACCATGTTTTATGCTGACCAAACCAACAAACATGGTGGTATACTGGGGTCATGATGGGGATGTATAGGGGATAATAAGCTGGATAACGACCTCACCAGAATGATTTCAGGATTCACAGCATTAAGAAATCGTGATTCAAGTGGCAACAAATCAGGATCCAAACAAATTGGTATAAAGGTTTTCTACTGTGGATGGTTTAAACACCCTGGGATTAAGTGTTTCTTTTGTTCATTTTAATGGATGGTTTATAGCCAGGATTTGGGCTCAGGCTTCACGTGCCAATCCTGTCTTAGTTTCTGAGACTAAGCGAATGAGCCATGTCGTATGAGAAGATCCTGGAAGATTATGATGTTTTGGGAACGAAAGGATGTTTGCCATTCAAGCGAAGAAACAACCTGTTGATCACTGTTGATGAAGTGTATCCTCAGTTTGGAAAGTTTGCATTTCAATTCACCCAAATCGCTCCAGAAGGATTAGGCATTGGAACTTTCAACATGGACATGCTTGAAATCCCAGCTGACTGTAACTTGGAGAGCCAGCAACTGTTGATTTGGAAAGCTACTGAGCCACCCAAACTGCATGTGCCTATTTGGATTTTTGATGTGCAAGAACACTTGTCCTATCGGGACCAGTTCATGTATACCTACATCTACGATCATGCATCCTCATGGGCTCCGCTACCATCACCTGACCAAGATCAGCCATTTCGAGTGGCTGAGTTGTTTGCAGGAGGTTTTGGGGGTTGGAAAGCAGCCGGTAGTGTCATCCGCCAATACTGTGAGGTCCAGAGTCAGTTTATAAGTGTTGAACATTGTTTGCCAACAGCCATCGCGTTTGCAATCACCCACAAGACTGGTTTCATCCCTGGTACTGAGTTTTTGCATGCAGGATCGTTTGATAACAAGAAGAATTGGATTGTTTTGGCCGATGTTTTTGACACACGCCTGAGACTTCCATTGGCCACATGGGCACCACACATGATCACCATCTCTGCACCATGCCCTCCATGGAGTGGAGCAGCCCATCCACCCGGACTGAATAGCGAGGATGGCCAAATGCTGATGAAGGCAATTCTTGAGTGCCGATGGTATCGACCACACATGATACTTATTGAACAGGTACTGGGATTCAATCACCACCCTCACAAAAAAGAAATCATCAGGACTTTGCATCATGTCGGTTTTCGGTTGATCATGCAGAAAACTTTGGACTTGCAGGATCTGACATACACTTCACGTGTGAGGTGGTTGGGGCTGGCTATTCGGGTCCATTCCAATCTGCCGTTTTGTCCTTTGCAGAATTGGCCAAAGATAGAACACAACCAGCATCCGTTTCCGAAAATGACCTTGCCAGCCGAAATGGTCAATCAAACTGCTGTCACAGAACCTGTCAAACAGGTTGCATCCGATGTCCGATTTGCCAAGAACATGCCAGGGAAATCATCAACCGAGGTATTGAAATCACGCATTTATCAAGCAGGTGACATATTGCCCACCTTCATGGCCAGATATGGTTCACAGCACTGCATTGATTCAAGTCTTTTGCAAAGCCATGGATATTTTGGCCATTTTGTTGCGGATGGGAATGCCCCAAATGGTTTTCGATTTTGGCATGCTGCTGAAATTGCGATGATCCACGGTGTTTTTGAGGGATGTTTTTTGCCCACAAATCAAGCTGAAGCCAATCAACTCTTGGGCAACATGATTTCGACTCAACATGCCCTTGTGCTATTGGTCAATGGAATGAACAGAATTTTGCAGTCACCAATTGATTTGAAGAAGGTTTGCGCATTTTTCCATGCATCCCAGGTTGTTCCATCAGCATGTCAGATGATTGATATGGCCAATGGATACTACCTTACACACCGTGACACACTCATGTTACACAGCTTTCAAACGCATGTGGAATTGTTGCATAGATGGGCCTTCCAACACGACACCATGCATGTGTGGTTGCCAGATCATGGACTGCTCCTACATGACCAGATTCCTGAAGCCATTGCACGTAGGATTGCGCCATCCGTCATCACCATCACAGATGCATCCGACACATCCGAAGAGCCAGAGCATGACGTTGACCCATGGCATCCATTCCTCCAAGGGGAATTGAAAGCAGCCCACAACAGTACCTTTTGGTATAGTGCGGACCTGCCTGGAAGTGTGATTGAAAGAGTATGGGCACATGAATATCAGTTGACTTTCCAATCAGTGGAAGACAGAAGAACTGCCATCATGCAGCGACCTGACACTGTGCCAGCTTGCATTCCCGAAGTTTCAAATCAGTGCGTAGTATCCCTCATTGACGGAGAACTCACCATCACCTCCGTCAACCCAGATCAACCATTGATGAAACAGGATCGGATCAAGAGCATTGCACCTATTCTGTACGACCAGTACGGACAGATGGACATCATATCAAAACCGAAGTTTTCCACAGTCCTGTTGGATCAGCCATTGC